CGGGCTTGCGATGATCGAGAGTGCGATCTGCCTGTCCAAGATAGGCAGATCGTACGTTTTTTTAATCCCTGTACAACCATCGCAAGACTAAAGTCTTGCGATGGTTGTAGAGTGTATGGCCACCTTAAGACTCCATTCACACCTAGGCGACACCTATTATGCGTGTGTTTTACAAGCATATATTAAATTGCATGTTTTTGTTTTTGTCAACAGATTTTGGCACATTTATGAGAAAGAGCAAAATACAGGTTAAAATGTTTATATATATATATATATCACAATGCGCATTTTCAAGTGTTTTTTATTGAGTCTATGGGACAAAATGCACGGAAATCTGCCCCACAGTAGCTCATGTACTATTTCGATTGGCAGGCATATTTCTGCTTGTGACGAAAGTCACAGGTGTGAACGGGGGCCGTGGAAATGAATGGGACTCCTTGTGTGAAGTGTTGCGCTGAATCAGCTGCGCCAATACGCCTCGATGTGAATGGAGCCCAAGAACAAGCCACCTCTGAGGATCAGGCGAGTATGACTTTTTTATCTTCCTCCTAGACCAAAACGGGCACTTAACCCTTGCAGTGTTGGGTTAAAAAAAGAATTTCCCCATAGTTCTTTAAGAGCTTTTACATAAATTCTACTCAACAATAAAGTTTTAACAGGATGTTAATGCAATAAGAAATGGATTACACTTATTCTTTAAACACCCACCTTGAGACTTTCCATTTATGATAAGCTGGGCAAACACAGCAGCATAATTTCCTTTCATTGCATTGCCAATATACATCTTTGATGCATTTTCACAGGGGGTGTTAATTATGAATTCCTTAAAAGAACAAAACTAATGTTAGTAGAATGAAATCTGAGTTATTTTTTTTACCCAAACAGCCAAAGAGTGAAGAGAGCTAATCCTGGGCCTGATATAATAAAGTGTGTTAAAGTGAACATATGGACACTTCAAACATTTTCATATGATTAGAAGTCTGACATGAACGCAGATTAATTTCACCTCGTCCGACATGTTAATAAATCAGGACTAAGTATATTGTGTACTTGCGAGGCATATAAATAACTGATGTCCTATTCATTTTTTACTTTTATTTTTGAATCCCGCGGTCCTATACTTACCTTTTTTCCAGATCCGCCATGTGGGCTGCAAACCTGCTTGACAACATTTTTGCCAGGCCCATGCTTGATGTAATCTCCATTTAATCCTAAAGGGATTTCATACTCTGTTGGAGTTCGAACTCTCCAAAGGATTGAATAGTGACTGTTTAGCGCAGGTGGGAAGTAGGCTGTGAGCCCCTTGGAGGATCGGGCACAAGAGATCTCGTTGTGGTGTGGGATTCTACTTTTTCTAGTGTCTGTCTTCCCTTCCTTTATCTTTATGTACTCCCTGTCTATTTTATGTTGTCCACTATACTGTCTATCTTCTTGTTCTACCTTTATGGGCTGTTGATATATCCTACCATACATTTAACCCATTGAGACACAGGCACTCACCCCTTTGCAGAAACTAGCCTTGATGGTTCACTATGTTGTGCATTATTGAGCAGCTTCCATTGATTTTGTTTTCCCTTTCCTAACTGAGATACTTCATGTGTTCTCTGTATATTGCTTGAGAAGTGGCACTCTGTTCTGATGTTCTGACGTTTAAATTACTTGTGTATGTCAATTTTTATAAAATTCCAATAGAAATTATAAATGGAAAAAAAAAAGAGATCTGGTTGCAACGGGGATAGACTGGGAGGTGGGCTGGAGTTGAGGAAGGGGGGCGGGGGGGCTTTCAAAAATAAGTGTTACTGCACTACAAGTACAGTTACACTTTATATACCACATATAGTATGAACATTGCGGTGGTTTAAAATCACTAACTATATCATTTTAGCTAATTTTCTTGAACAGTGAAACAGCAGCTAATAAAAAAAAAACTTTCAACCTTCCACATCTCCACACAAAATCTGTCTGAGACTGCCAACCTCCATTATACCATGTAGGCAAAGACAACAAGCATGGAAAGCTTTCAAGGGACTATGGGACAGAGGATTACTTTTGTCTCAGACCTAAACAGCTATGACATGCACGAAATGGGTTGTCATTTATTTAAATTGGTAATAAACTAACAGTGCTTCAAAGACTTTGCCTATACATGTACGTAGTCCACCATAGAGGCATGACTGCACTATGGTGAGGTCACATGACATCCATTGCACATTTGGTTGCATCTTTAAACATGCAATTATTGTAAATTTCAATACAATGTATAGAGTTTCTGCATGATAAACAAAGTTCAGAAATTCAAGCAAAGCAACCTACCCACTATAAAACTGTCACATAAAAAAGGAAAAACAAAAAAGCAGAATTGGGGAAATTTTTGACCTATGTTCCCTAGGGACATTCCAGAACTGAAGTAACATCAAACCATAGCCTGGCTATTTCTGGCTTGCTCAGAACTAGACGTTGCATATTGAATTTTGTAATCTGTATGAGTAAATTGTCACATGACTAAGAAGATTCAACAATTAAAAATGATATTTAAAAAAGTGCTTTGAAGGCTTCTGCCTGCCTGAAAATCTATTTTTCCCCGCTAAGACACTTATTACCCTTAGGGCTCATTCACAGGGTCAAAGAAGGCTGTATATGCATATGTTTCTGTGCCAGGTCATCACAGTTTTTCCATAGATCCATGGCCAGCAGTCTGTAAGAAATCAATGACAGGCTTACAGGTGCAGAGGCTGTATAGAAATTCCCACACATCCAAACGTTTACATCCATGCATGGCCCTGGATGCAGACAGACTGCGTCCAGGGTCATGCATCCATCCCTGTGCAGATGTATACACTTGGATATGCCAGAACATCCATACAGCCGCTGCAATTGTCAGCCTGTCATTGATTTTTTTTTTTTAAAGGCTGCTGGGCGTGGCTGCACGGAACGCCTATGTCTCCCGAGTGCACAAGCACATGTAGGGCCCTCAGTGCCCGTGTGAATAAGACCTTATTCTGTAAACGGAGACTGACTTTTATTATAGAGCTACAGTTATTTCACAGATGGCAACACATGCTACACTTGAATAGTACTGTAGTGCCTCCTTTACAGTTACCAATGGTACACTACAAGGGTCACTAAGCCATTCAATGTTTGCCCAATCAGGAAGGTTCTCAAAAGGCATAAAAACACATAAGGCCTCATTCACTCGAGTGCTAGGATCCGTACATCCGTGCAGTGGGCTGGTAAAATCAATGACAGTCTGTGGTTGAACGGATCTTTACGCACATCCCACCGTCTCTTTACGTACAGGGACGGTTGCACAGTTCTGAAGTCAGTCTGCCTATCTGTAAGAGAAGAAGCTCTATGTAAGCTCCAAGTCGCTCTAGGCAGAACGTACTCAGGGCTAAGCACTCTCTCCCCAACCCCTCATGAGAGCACTGAGGCCCGGATATTGACTACTTAGGCACCCAGCATTGCATTATGGGAGAAAGAGGAAAGAGTCTATGCTCCCCCACACCTATAACAGCAAGGTATGTCTCTTCATTCCAGGAGACTGACGAAATGGAAAGGAGAGCAAAGCGAAGGTAGGGTAGGGGGACATTTAAATCATCTTATTGCTTTCACTTGCACGTCAAAGAAAAATTTGTCTACTATGAGCACTGCATCACCAAAACTGATGCAGATCAGAAAAATGTTGCCTGGTCTCATAAAACTCTATTTTTTGAGATTCAAATGACAGGGTCAGGATTAGGAATACCTAGCATGAAACCAATAGTGGTAGGGGTGCATTGATGTGGGTAATATTTTCTTCACTCACAGGATTCTTAATACCAGCTGACCAGTATTTAAAGGCCACAGCATACCCAAGCACTGTACTCTTGCTGACAATATGTACCCCTTTTTGGGTGCCACTTAGTCGTATCTGATACAGTGGCCAGTGTATGTACATGAAGGTAGACCTATTGTCTCATTACAAATGCCAGATCTAAATTTCTGTGCAGTGATTTGGCCTTGCTGATCCTGATAAAGTGACACAAAACTTAAGAGTTAAATCTTAAAAATGCAATCAAGTACCATAACCATCTACAAAAATGTATCTTATTTGTGTATCACTCGCTGTAGATCCTCAAATCATCTCTGAATTGGTGCTGAGACTGTCCTTCCTTCTGGAGGGTGGCTACTTTTGTCCTCCATGGTCCCTGTGTGTGTTGTAAAGTAGCTATCACTCCAAGCTCGCTCCCGTGATGGACTACAATCTCAATACAAATTAGTAAACTAAACGTGAGATTGTAGTCCATCACGGGAGTGAGCTTGGAGCGGTGGCTACTTTACAACACACACAGGGACCATGGGGAAAAAAAGTAGCCACTCTCCAGAATTGGTGTCAGCACCAATTTAGAGACGATTGGAGGATCTACAGCCAAGTGATACACACATGAGCTACATTTTTGTTAATAGGTAAGGTACTTGAATGCATTTTTAAGATTTAACTTCCGAGTTTACTTTAAGATCAAGGAAAGTCTACCGGACAGCCTGTTTGAAAACTATAGATACTCTGCATTCTCTAATAAAGTGAACGACCCACAATGTTGCTGTTAGCCAGTAACCATTTGACCTTTTACCTAGACTTTCGGCCACATGAGTGAGCTTAAGAATTACGTATTCTATTTATTTATTCATAGCAAACAATAATTCAAATCCTCCACATGGGCTGTGTATGGATGGCAACATAGCTATCCAATTTCATTTTATTTAAAGGACGCATGAAATCAAAAACAAAGATGACATTTTCCTTCTGCTTGAGCAAGTTACTGACATGACACAGTGGAATTTGGCCTTCAGTATTACTAAGCATTTCCTTTTTTATAGTTACTGGGAAAAAGAAAGCAGAAGTGCTCACAGTCTACAGAAATATGATTTCACAAGATGCTAGGAGATTTGCCTATTTACCAGCCAGGTCATGACTTAATTCCTACCTGTGACACTGGATCAAACACGGCCTGCGTGAGAATCCCTCGTACATTGCTGCCATGCCCTCGCTCTGTCATTGCAAACATGCCTGTGCTTTCCTGGTTCTGTTGGGGAATAAAATACAACTGATTTTAGTATTCAGAGAGTTAATTTTAAATTATGCTTCAGTTTTATGACAGTAAACCTGGTACAAATATGGCCAATTCAGATTAAATAACATGAATAAAAAATAGCATAGTTAAGCTGGCTATGCACATTTTGGGACTGGCTCCTTTGACAAAAATCAATTGGAAAAATCAACTTTTGTCAAATGGGAATGTGGGTCCGGAGCAAGCCCCACATTGCTTAAATTTTAAAGTTTAAGTCAGCAGGTCTCGGCAAAAATTCAAACAGTGTATGGTCAGCTTAAGGGGATACCTTCAGATGCAGAAGCTACATACAAAATCTAGTCTTTTCCTGTAAAAACTGATCTGGGCCCTGCATCTCCCTATTGGTGTTTTAATAAGATAGGCCACCCTATTGACCGACAAAGAGAGGTGGGAGGGTGAAGCAAACTTTCACATAACTTTAGTTGCTTATATCGCTGGATCTACTGGCTGTTTTCACTTAGGGGGTTCCCTCTGCTCATGCATCTTTTTCATCATATTCGGAGTTTAAATTGCCTAGTCTTATGAAAGGCCTCATTTAAATCAGTAATAAACTCCAAAACTTTGTTCAATAATAAATCCAGATCAAACAAATATGCATTGCCCAGCAAAGTAGGTCTTACATTTTTTGCCTAAGCACCTAGAGTCATCATGTTTCCAAACAGCCGGTTCCAACTCTCTCAGCTCCACTTCCCTGAACTTCCTGTCCAGTACAAGAAAACAAGAGACAAAGTCTCCAGCAGCTCTCCATCTACTAGTTTGGAGAAGGCTGAAAAGAG